TTTCCCAAAAATGTTTCTGTTCACTCCCTCTCCCTGAAGTATTGTGGCCCAACATACATTCAAATTATGGCCCAACTAGCATCCAATTGCTTTTAGAAAAATATATTACGAGGTTAGAGCTTGTTTGTCACCCATTATTTAAAAATTAAAAAATTTTGAATAATATTTTTTAGAGAAAGTATGATTAAAAATAATTTTTTTATTAATTTGTATAGAATATTTTATTATATGAATATGTAATGAAAAATATTTCTATAGCAAATAATTTAAAATTTTAAAAGATGGCAAATAGAGATAGTTATTTGATACTTTGTTATAATTCCTCAATTTCATAAAATTAACCCAATTTTTTTTTTATTTTTAAAATAATAATAAATTTAATTAATTTTTTTTTTTAATTTTAAATTTTTTTAAAGCTCCTCAATCGTACTCGAAACCTCTACTCCTTCCAAAATCCAATACACTATTCTTCCCGTATAAATCTCCCACTTTCTTTTCCTTTCTGCACAAATCGAATCATACTCCACTCAAATCAGCCATGGGTTCTGGTAATGCTCCCCCCTCTCTCTCTTTTTTATTTTAATTTATTTTCTGGAGTTTCCCTAATGATATTTATTTATTTATTTATTCTTTTTTTAATTTTTGATAAAAATTGTGTATGTGGGTGCAGATGCAGATATGGAGGATTATGGTTTCGAGTATTCAGACGAGGAGCCAGAGGAACAAGACGTCGATATTGAGAATCAATATTACAATTCCAAAGGTTTATATCAATTTTCCCCACATTGATAGTTTAATTCAAGTAATTCTCGGATTTATTTACTTTTATTAACAATGATTTTATTTGTATTTCATCGCTCTTATAGTTATAAACAAACTTCACATTTGAGCTCCATAAACCCTTGGCCATTTTTTTATTATTAATTCGTGGAGGTTGTATGGGTAGTATATATATGTATACAGACGATAGATATTTCTATGACACTGCGTTTCTCTCTGTGTTCAATATCTTTAAATAAAGGAGTGAAGAATAATTAGGCAAAACAGGTTAAAATGCTTTGAGTAATTTTATCAATCTTAAAATGGATTTCTCTGTGTCCTTCCGCGTTCAAAGTTTTGGCTAAGTTGTAGAGCTTAAGAAAATTTTCCGAGCCTCCCATGAATACATTTTTGAATTAATTTTGTTGTGTTAGCTAATTCTGTCATTTGTACCTTGAATTAATCTTCGCTGATATGTTTTTTTATTTGCAGGCTTGGTCGAAACAGATCCAGAAGCTGCACTTGAGGGTTTTGCAGAAGTTGTGCGGATGGAACCTGATAAGGCCGAGTGGTGAGTTTTCTTAATAATGTTTTTATGACAAAGATTTGGATTCTAGTAATCATGGATGATATTCTGGGCTTTGCCAATAGTTACTTTAGGAAATAGTTGAAACAGTTAATTTTGGGACTTTTTACCGTTGATCATAATGGACATAAATGTCTAGCATGTTTTATTTTTTTTATGCATTGTAACGGCTACTTGTCTTATATTTTGTCAGTTCACATTTTATAGAGCTGTGTTCGTTGATATAGATTCACCGTTCAGATACAGTATTTTGGTCCATAGAAGGATTTTTTTTTGGCAAACAGCTTTGTGGCCCATTCAGATTAAGCTCATGTTTGGACTCCATTAAAATTAGTTCTTAGGGAAAAATGTATTTTGGAATAGTGATTTTTTTTGGAGATTGCGTGGTTAAAAGGAAGGAAACGTTTTGGGTTTATGTGTAATATTATTTTATTGAAGAATGTGTAGTTGAAAATAAGAAAGAGAGAAAAAGCATTGAAATTAAAATGGAGCCCAAACAAGGGCTAAGTGTTGATACTTCCCAATTAAGGGAAGAGAATTGAGCTTTGTACTCAACTCCTACGCACCCATTAATTATCCTAGAAGATGCATAATTTGATAGCTGTATGATGCATTAATATCTCACAAATTTTCCCTATTAAAAATGTTCTCGTTCATAAAAATTATAATAGAAAGGACAGTCACAAATGTCTAGACATCATAGTTTTAAAGATCATATACTAATTATAAATGTCATAGTTTATCATTTAAAATGATGTTGTGTATCAAAATGAATTAACAAATTAACATAAATGGTGGAGGTACAGATGAAGGTTTTTAGAACTACAAACTACTGCTAAACTTGTATTATGCCTGCACCTAATGAATATTGTTGGAATATGATGTGTTCAGGCGTACAGAGCTTAACAGCTGCTACTACATGAAACCTTTCATGATGGGCATTTATATTTTATTCATGATAGAAGTAATTAGATACTAGTAATTCAAGTCTTTAAGAAACATCAGAGATATATGCACATGTCTAACCTTTTTTTCTGAAGTCCATGCTACAAAGAAAATATTTTTCCCTCCTAAAATATTAAAGATAATAGCTGCAATCTGTATCTTACTATGTTGAGAGTTGATGGGTTTCTCCACCAAAAGTTGGGTAATCTACTGAATAGGGATCTCAACTTATTGAAAGGTTGTTTTCATCATTTCAGTTTAAGTTGCTCACGCATCTCCATGTCTTTGTAATTAATGCTGTTCTTATTATCTTGGTGCGATTGAACACTTCTGTTGTTTTTGTTTTCAGGGGATTCAAAGCTTTAAAGCAAACTGTTAAGCTCTACTATAAGCTAGTGAAGTACAAAGAAATGATGTTAGCTTATAGAGATATGTTAACTTACATCAAATCAGCAGTGACTAGAAATTACAGTGAGAAGTGCATCAACAATATAATGGATTTCATTTCTGGATCAGCTGGTCAGAACTTTAACCTCTTGAAAGAGTTTTACCAGACCACTTTAAAGGCACTTGAAGAGGCAAAGAACGAGGTCAGAACTTAATATATAGTGGTACTAAATCTGTTTTTTCTTTTCAAAGACCTTATTGACCTTTCTTTGCAGAGACTGTGGTTCAAAACAAATCTGAAGCTTTGCAAGATATGGTTTGATATGGGCGAATATGGACGGATGAACAAGGTTGTTTCCTTTTATTAAAAACTAACTAATTTTATTCGTGGATAATGAATATAATTCTGTGTATTTAATTAGATTTTGAAGGAGCTCCACAAATCTTGTCAAAAAGAAGATGGTACAGATGATCAGAAGAAAGGGACACAATTGCTTGAAGTATATGCAATTGAAATTCAAATGTACACAGAGACTAAAAACAACAAAAAACTCAAGGTATATCAGTTTACTTGTTGCCTTGTTGGTTTACTGAATTAACACGTCTAAACTGGATTCTTTTCTTCTTTTTCTGTGAGCTTATAATTATTTATTCATTATTGTTTTTCAGGCCTAGTATCATGTCCCCTTCTAGTCTCCGTTTTTGTTATATAGTCTAGAACAGTAGAAACAATAGAGATTTTGCCCTTGGTTCTCTTAGGTCTAATTCGAAATAGGCAATTTTTATTGTAGCATTTCTATGAACAACAGAATCTAGTCTTTATTTTAGCTATTTCAATATCCAGCTTGTTATGTCTCTTCAAGAATAATAACCCTTTAACAGTAAAAGATTTGTAATAGTGGCAAGGAAGAGCATATTTAAGATATGTAAGCATCCCTTCCTCAATAAATGGCATGAATTAAGAAGGGGATACCCATTGGTTTGTATAAGTGTAGGATTGACATGATCACGTTATATAATAATGAACTTGTTGGAAAAATATCTAATCACAAATTGCTGGTAAGCCATGTCATAAAAGAACTTGCCACTTGTATGAAAAATAAGTAGTACAAGGGTTTTAGTCCATGTGACTGGACTTGGTCATTCTTAGAAGTGGTGTGTAAAGTTGATCTGTTGGAAGTAATATTCCCGTACTAATCCGTAAACTTTGAAGTTTTATTGTATTACTCGTAACATTCACACTATCGTGGAGAAAACGTGTTATGTTTTGTGGTGTCAAGCAGCAAGTCAACATAAAGTGTGATTGACATGGGAAGAGGTTGATGAATGGGTTAGAAAATGTTTGGCATATAGGTAAAGAAGAGAGCTGAAATGATGTAGGAATAATAATTAATTAATTAATTAGGTTTGAAAGTATGAGGTGATGGAAGTTGAACAGATTGAAGAAATGATTTTGGAACACATGAATGAGTTTATTCTGACAACTACTAGTCAAGATCACATTTTTGCTGCACGAGATTTGAATGATCATTTTGGGAAATGTGAATTGGAACATGAAAGGGTACATTGGTTTCGAAGTTAAAACGAAAATTTTAACACTTTGGACTTTAGGATGACTTGTGATTTGAAATGTGAATTTGAACATGAAAGAGTATATGAAAGTTATGGCTTTGAAAATGAAACAAAATTTTTAAAACTATTTAGACTTTGGGTTGACTTATGATTTGGCATTTACGGAGAGGCTCTTCATGGTCTGACTCAGTGAATAACAACTAAAAGTGGGCAAAGGTCCCATAAAGTCCATGGCAAATCGGAGCAAAGACACTGTGACTTGGTCAACTTGGCTAGTCTTGTCAACCATGGTGTCTCGATCTGTTTGTATTACCTTATCGAGTCACAAAGGTGCTTTGACATCTGTTGGAGGTGCCATGACAAGTCACTTAAGGGGAAAGAAAATCACATATAGTTTGAAGATTTGAATGGGGTTAGTGATAAATTGTTAGGTATATTACCATCAAACCTAAGACATTTTCTTGCATAATTAAGCACAACTAATGTATAAGATTATGACGTACTATATTAATAAATTAAAATTTTCTTGCATAATTAAGCACAACTAATGTATAAGATTATGATGTGCTATATTAATAAATTAAAATTTAATATTTTGGCCTTTTTGTTTTACTATGAAGGGAAGCAAAATATTAATGCTTATATACGTTATTATCTGGAATTAAGCTTACTAACTTATATTTAATGTTTCCGTATATAATTAACATATTACATTTTTCTACTTTTAATTATTTTAGAAGTTACCATATGTTTGCTATTTCATAACTATT